AATAGAAAGTGTATTGAACATATAATGGTACTAAGATAATAGAAAGTGTATTGAACATATAATGGTACTAAGATAATAGAAAGTGTATTGAACATATAATGGTACTATGATAATAGAAAGTGTATTGAACATATAATCGTACTAAGATAATTGAATGGCTGCATAGAAAGGAGTCCCTCCCCCAGTGGTACAGTGATATGTCTGCGGACAAACAGACCTTTGTGTGGCTTTGTGCTTAATAACAAACAAACAAACATAGAAAGTAAAAGTAAAAAAATACAAACATATATATATATATACATATATTGTTTTTATTGATTAACAAAGTATCTCAAATATTCTATTTATGTTACAAATGAAAATTATGTTTTAAACCAGAGGAAAGGCACTGGGACGTTGTTTTAGCGCAAAGCTACCTGCGCTCTGTTCATCGCGGGAAAATGAGTCTCTTACAACGTTAGAAACTGGGTTTCGATACCCGTGATGGGCAGGGCACAGATAGCTTAATGTGTAGCTTTGTGCTTAACTTCAAAAAACAAACAAACAAACAATAGATGTTCTTAACTAGATTTGTAAGGTTTGTTTATTTGTTGTTAAGCACGAAGCTACACAATAAGTTATCTATGCTCTGCTCATCGTGAGTATCGAAACCCAATTTTTAGTGTTAAAAGATCACAGATATAACACTAGTCCACAGGGGGAGTGTATTTGGTAAGAAAATTGTATTTGGCGAGTTTCCAATAAAATTACTGTCCCTACGTGTTTTATTTGAATATAGCAATTATGAATTTTCTCTGGATGCTGTAACGAGAACATCAAGATGAGATATTTAGTAATCTCAATTCCGAATTAAAAACGGTTAAGAGCATAGTGATCGAGCCCCCGAATTTTAGCGCTATAAGTCTCCAAACCTACCGCTCAGTCACATGGAGGTTTTTTTTTTAATTTCAAAACATCTTTAAGCCATTAATGTGATATCTTATTCTTACTTTTCATTTGTGTCGTTGCATACTGATTTTCCCAGAGCTGGTGCTTTTTCCCTTTCCGTGATTATTTTTTTAATTTTATACTGACAGAGGACACAACCTTGTACGTTTGTCTGTTTTGTTTCAAGCTCAAAGCTGCAGTACGTTTTAATTTTTCTTTATTGTATCATTCCTAAAGACTGGAGTTGGTAATTCGTAATAATACATGAGGTTTGTTACAAATAAGTATTTTATTTAATCATTTATTATCAAAACATGGAGTAGGTAACTTACAAATTGTTTACTAGGATCAATTCAGATTTCATACCTTTAAATTTCCAAATCCCTTAAGCGTATAATAGTGATATAAATAATAGCATTAAAATAATCTTAATTACCTTGGTTACTTGACGTTAAAAATAGAACAAATAAAAAGTAATGAAAGAATAATAAAAATATTTAAACAATAATAAATGTTAATATAGTAAAAAGTGGTTTCTGACGAGTTGCCCTCTCTGTTGTCGGTGGTTTGGAATTAGAGACGGCACCACGCAACATGTACTGTCCACTGACAAACGTGCTGCGACAGGACTCCATAATTGGAAGGAGGTGAGCCTGTATTTTTGAAATTTTAGATCTTTTTGATCTGTTTAGTATCTTTCGTAAATTTATGACATTATAAATAAGTTATATTTACGTAAGAGCACTAGTAATTTGGTGAAAAAATAAAAACACCAATAAATCTATAATCATAATTTATTAGAACAAAATGCTCAAAGTCAGACATGATACATGGCAAACAAATTAATCACCTTTAATGTATCTAATTTACAATATAATCCTATTGTGTGCCCGTGTGTGTATATATATATCAAACTTATAGAAAAGATTCACCTTTAATACATATAACTTACCTCATTGTGTCATTCTTTTATTGTGTATAAATCAAATATTCAAAGTTAGGGCTTACCCTTTTACACAGCTGTGTGTCCATCATAAAGTTATGGACATGTTTTTCCGCTCGGGTAAGTTCAAGCTTCCTAGCGATCACAGCTACTACGAGGGCAGTACAACCAGCGCCCTGAAAAAAATAACACTTTCTTGCTTTATACCCAATACGTAAAGCATATAACACGTTAATCCAATGAAAATTTTACTTCAAAGAGACAACATTAAATACATATTCACGTTAAGTGGAGTTGAGATTCTTTTTACCCATTAAACCAGAAAAGCTTAGCATGGTAGCACTTATGCATTTTATTGGAATTATCACATTATACAGATCTGAAAATTTTTAGGAAAAAAAGATTCGCTCCACTCTTTGAGGCTGGGTGCGTTATAAGCGTGACTTTCATATCCAACTATTTGGTCAGGAAGAAGACTCTCCTAAGGCTGAAAACACAACTGAATTCTGCTGTAAGCTTATTGCTTAAACCGTTGCTATTCTTTATATTTTATCTTTCTTCGTAAATTATGTTTTATTTAAATATAATATCACACTCTAGAACAGTAATGTGCAGAGGGCAAGGGCAAGGGTTGATTGAGAAAAAGGGTACTTTTCAAGCATCTTAAAGAAAGCGTTTTCTTCTTTTTTTTTGAGTGGTGTATGTGTTAGAGGAGACTATGGGAACTGTGGGCTGTTTCTAGTAGACGTAGGTTAAAAAAACGTGAGTTGTAAACAGATCGTCTTTTATTCCTATTCAGTTTGTCTATAATCATTTTATGATCCAAAATTAAACAGGAATTCTTGCGTGTTAACACTTAATAGAATATTACAATACTGTAAGGTCCTAAAGGTCCCTGTGTTTCATTCGCTTTAAGCCTGAATTATTTTTTCTCCTAATAACTCCCAGAAGCAAGGTGTGGAATCAGGTGTACTTCTTGTAGTTGTTGAAAACGCTTATGACAGAGAAAAATACACTTTTTGGACATAAGGGCAAGAAGGCAGGGGCTTGATCCCACCCAGACACCTCACTGATCTATAAAGCAACGTTTTAGGAAAACTTCATTAATAAATAACGATTTCAAAATGATACATTACATCAGCAAGTGTAAGGAAGGCCAAAAGTAAGCTTATGATCTGAAGAAATATTATTCGAATAAGAACAAAATTAAATCCGGTGTCTTCAGCAAGGTTGAATATAAACCTATTAAGACCAATAGGTTATTTGAATTATCTACTCTCAGTTTTGTTTTGTTTTCTGTTTCTAAAAAAACTTCGTATCATAAAATAATAATATAGAAACAGGTTGTTTAGAAGCCTCTTAGGACGGCGTGTTCTAGTAGTTAGCTATCTAAGACTGTTAAATCCGAAGGTTCATGGTTCGTGGCCCGTCGCAGTAAAAAAGATTTGCTCCACTCTTTGAGGCTGGGTGCGCTATAAGCGTGACTTTCATATCCAACTATTTGGTCAGGTAGAAGTAACCCAAAAGTTTGTTAAGGGTGCTGTTTACTATCTGCCTTTTTTGCTGGCTATACGTAGATAGCCCTTTTTGTAGCTTCATGTGAAAATTCTAAATCAAAAGAACTTATAGTTCAAGTCTGTTTCACCAAGTGCATATCCAGACATTTTATTTTCTATCAACATCGTTTGAGCTACCATAAACATTAAAATCTTGTTCAAAGCAAGCATTACGTCCCGGAAGTCAAACACGAAACCATATATCAACTTGATTCTATAACGAAACCCGTGCCAAAAGACACTTTTACAAAGAACTTCCTTTATATTTTGAATTCTTTTCATTAAACTTTTATGTACACACTATTTTAATTTCCAAAATACATAAATCAGAACAGTCACCAAAGTCATTTTTCTCTGAAATAATAAATGCCGGTTGTCGGGGTTATCTTATTTCTAGTTAAGGTTCCATCATTATATTTTGGGAGGAAACATTCCATTGGGGACAAAACAAATATTTAACGCGATAGTAATAAAGTAGTTGTAATTTAAGGTAACCAACTTTGTACTCGTTAAAATTACGTTGCGTTTACTTGATACGTCAATACGGAAGTCTTTCCATTATTTTCTCTTCCTTACGATCTTGAATTCTGAACCATTTCATTTATTTAATAAAGTTCATGTTCTACTTTCTTACCGCCTACAAGTAGAGTGCGAATTATGAGACTTTGGGGGGAAAAGAACTTGAGAAACGCATCAATTTAGTTTAGTTTGTAACTAAATGTGCTACATTACTCCACTTAACGACTGTTCCTCTTCCATACTGAATAACTGAAAGCAAAATCTATAACAAAAAACCTATCACTGATGATCTTCTGCTGTCCAACTTCTAGAGTTTAAGAATCTTACTACAAACGGAAAGTCTTGGCCATTTTAGACCTATTACATCAACAAAACTATTATTTCTTATGTTGTTAATGTATCATGTTTGTATTACAATTCCAGCTGAAATCAACTTTTACCATTAAATTCTGTTAGAAGTAAAGCAATTATAATTTTCGATCTAGAAAATCCTGGTGACAAATCCAGTAGAGCTGATAAGCATATTCAACTTTTTGCTCGTAAAGCGCTCCTGATAAATACGTAGAGTATCTTAAATTTCACGAGTATTTATATTTGTTGTAGCGAAGAGGCTATTAGCTCAATACCAGAGTTTATCAGACTGAATGAATGACATCATTCAAAGTTTAAATTCGAACGCTGATAAGTACTGGTCCTTGAGGAAGAGCGGTATCAAAATCAATCTACAAGAAAGTGTAGTAGAAATACTACCAATACCATTATTCATACTAGGGAAACTATAGTGGGGCAGTTAGGAATAAAGTGTTATATATTATTATAAGTATCATTTTCACCTTTAATTCAGCTTGTAACCTAAAAAAAATTAATTGTACACCTATTAGCATTAGATCTCACAGATGTCTGGTGAAGCATTAGTCCTAGTCAGACAGGTCTATCGAACAACAACCTACACTAAATGAAGTGCATCTCATTTTCGATGACGAGGAACCCACTTTGAGACTAATAATGGTTGGAGATGTCTTGAATGGATAACGAAGAAAAACTTTAATATAAGTTTAACATAACAGCAAATGTACAATGTTTCGACAATGTTTTGTCATCATCAGGGATATGATGATGTACCTGATAATGACAAAACATTGTCGAAACGTTGTACATTTGCTGTTATGTTAAACTTATATTAAAGTTTTTCTTCGTTATCCATTCAAGACATCTCCAACCATTATTAGAAGTGCATCTCAAATCACATCAGTGCATTTTGAGTTTATTCTTTGCTAGTGATCTACCTATTAGGAGTTTAATAAAAAAACTATTATAAGTTTTAATGTAACTTATATAAGAATGAATACCTTTAAATGATTCACAGTTCGCCATTTTAGCACAACACACTATGTAGCGGTTACATGAATATCAGTTTTCAAACATAGCTTATTTCAACGACATCTCATCTTATCCATATATCCATACATATTGTTTCAATAACATTTAATGACACAAACTATTTATATTAAACACCTTAGCTTCGATTTTAAATAGTAAAAATAATTCACATTCTTTTGTTGCCATCATTCGTATAATACGTTCTTGCGTTAGAAACTTTATTGAAAGTAACACAGGTTATGCAAATTTCATATATTAACAAGTCTTTTCAACAAAGAAAGCATACTCATTGTTTTCCCACAGTTAATATACTACATCAAGCGAGGTTACTATTTCATTCAGAGCGAGACATAGCTTTTGTGGCTACGGATGTTGGCGTCTGATTTCCGAGTTATTAGTTCAAAATTAGAGATGGCTGTTCTTGAACCTTAGGGCTTTGTGACGTTTACACCAAAATGGTAACTTCTTAACAATTCGTGAAATCTATAATTATTAAAACTCTTATTTATCAGAACATTTTTATTTTGGTTTTATAACATTAGAATTATTGCTCAAGTAATTAAGAAAAAAAATTGTTCGTTTATTTTAGCGCATATTCTGTATTCTGTCCACTGCGAGAAATCGAATCCCGTGATTATGCGTTGCAAGTCCTGAAACTCACCGCTGACCCACCGGAGTGTACTGTTGAAATAATAAAAAAATAAGAATTTAAAGAAATTTGTTAATTTTTTGTGAAAATTTACCTATTATAGTACCGATTTCCTAGAATAATAAATATAAAATTCCTGGATATATCTCATCTTTTGTTATTATTTCTGTGAACCACACATTCAACATATATTTTCTATTAGATCGGACAATTCATTGAGACATGTTGAATTTGGTGGTTATCTTTCAATAAAGGATGATGTTTTCAATACATTACCAAAATTACTTGCGCCTGCGAACTATACGGTTTTCCGAATACTTACTTAGTGTCCTGTATGTTGTACAAAACGTTTTAAATTTCTTATAACTCCGAGTAATGCAATCACTTTTTGTTTGTCTTGAATACCTAAGAAGTAATTATTTATAGATTCATAACTCAACAATAAAATGTTTATTTTATAACCATGAATAACACAATAATATACATATATATTATACTATTCTTGTGTTGTATTTTATAGCTACGAGTTAAATATGCTTAACAAACTGAAAATCGAGACTAAGACAACTAGAATTATAGACTTACAGCTTTACAAAGTATTAAATAAAGCGAGATACCTCCATGGGTGTTACTTAAAATATATTTAGTTACTGTGTTTGTTATGAATTTCGCGCAAAGCTACACGAGGGCGATCTGCGCTAGCCGTCCCTAATTTAGCAGTGTAAGACTAGAGGGAATGATGGTAGTTATCACCACTCGCCGCCAATTCTTGGGCTACTCTTTCACGAACAGAGAGTGGGATTGACCGTGACATTATAACGCCCCCACGGCTGAAAGGACAAGCATGTTTGGTGGGATGAGGATTCAAACCCGCGACCCACAGATTGCGAGTCAAGCGCCCTAACCACCTGGAAATGTCGGACCTTCTGTGTGTGTGTTTAGATGTAAGGATTTCAAACAACAACGCAATTTCTAATGCCCGAACAGTCCGAAGAGACGTCTACAAGCTATCATATTTGCATAAAGCTCGTTACAACTCAAAATTAATAATTATTCACCATTTAAAATGTTA